GGGGGGGGGGGGGGGGGGCAATTTGGGCATTTCCCTCTCCCCCCTCCCCCTCCCTGTCATTACAATTTCACTACCCCCTCCCCTTTCCCCTCCAGTCGTCGTTATGTCCGATGCTCCTCTGCCCCCTTGCCCTCCTTTCCTCATCCTCTCGCTGGCCGACCCTAAACTGCAACAATGACGACCGAAGGAGGGGAGGAGGGGAGAGGGGGGAGGGGGGCGGAGGGGGAAAGTGGGGGGAAGGGGAGGGGGCGAAACATCTGCCCCACCCTCGATCCGCCAATGTTTAAAACACATGCTCGCCGGCGTGGCACAAAGGCAAATACACTACCGTCGTGTTGGGGATCCAAAGTTTAATTCCTCCAGTGAGACAGTCAGTCCCTTACCGGTTCATTTGTTTCGGTGGTGATCACACATAACATACCTGGGAATTAAACCTAATTCAAGTGGGAGCAATAGACAATTCTGACGGCGGGAGGTTGCTCTTAATTGTCAAAAAATTATTCGGGTCATTTCCGATGCCTCCATCTTTTTCAAACAAAAAGAGAGGGAGAGAAACAAACACCGAAGGAGAGATAGGGAAGAGAATTTCTGTACTTCCATGCAAAATTTTTGTACACTTGGATAAAAACACGTATATATGATACATAAACATACAAGACTTCCACTCCTGTAAAACAGGTACTGGCAGTAATTGGCGACACGCAAGCCTGTCTTACGTACTTGTTGATGCTTGCGGGCTATCTTTTTTAATAAGACTCAGGAACAACGCATCAGATTTGCCCGTGCGGTCATGTGTTTTTGCACTAAATTTGATGCAGTCAGATCGTTTATAGTATAAATGGTAATTGCTTTACATTTTAACTCATATGCCTGTGTTTTGGCCGTCAATGAAATTTGCATATTTTTTTGGCAGTTCTGTACGCGAAATTGAAGGGCGTGTAGGGAAATGACGCACGGAATGGGAATATGTCCTAAAAATTTCAGCCTCCCAGCTTTCCTGGTTGATAACAGCGCTATAGCACTGCACAACAAAGCGCGTGAAAATAAACAACGAGTTAATGCAAATTTCATGCTTGAACTTCGACACAAGATTGTTGAAATTTGGTTTTATATCACTGACACATCAGACTATCATTTGTTAGACTCGTGCACATTTTAGTTTTATTATGCGTTTTGTGCTGTGTAGCAACAGTACAAAATGCATATTGTCAAGGGATTGTCTGTGTGTATATGCGTGTGTATTCGCAGCAACTTGTCTGCAACTTTCAACTCGGGAACCACAAGATCTAGGAAGCTGAAATTTTGTCCCCTGCCCACGTACGATTCAGAAAATTTACTATTAGCCTTCCCATGCCCACGGGTAATATATACGGCCCGGTGAAACTTTTAGGGGGTAAGTTATTATCACCACGGAATCGAGAAAGCTGAAATCTTAGGCTAATAACCTCCTGCCCACATACTACGCCGCAAATTCAAACTCAGCGTTCTTACGCTCTCGGATATCACCTACGTCCTCGTGAAACTTTTGACGGGTAAATTATTATCTCGGGAACTACGAAATCTAGGAAGCTGAAATTTTAGCGCAGCTTACCCACGTACAACTCCGTAAATTCTTCCCATCCTCTTGAAACTTTTGATGGGAAAAATCATCATCTCGGGAGTCAGAGGGGCTATGAGGCTGAAATTTCAGAATGATGTTTCCTGCCTAAGCAGGGGTTCCACAAACTCGAATTCAGTTCCTAAGCATGCTAAGATCCCACATACGGCCATGTGAAAGCACCGCCGTAAAAGTCACTCGAGAGCAGAAAATTAGGAGGTTGGAATTTTGGAAGGGATGATCACCTTTCGAGGTTTCAAATTCATCTTTCAAGTGCCGTTGCATAAAATTTTGAGTGGGAAATTCCGCAACTTTTGAACTATTTTTGCACAGACCAAAGTGGAAAGCAGTGAAAATCATTAGCAGACAAACGTCCGCTGGAGGGGATTGCGCAAAACGCGTGATCGCACTGGCTGCTCTGCTGCGCGTCATTATTTATTTTCATGAGAGCGCATCCCCGTTCGTCTAGTTAGGCACCACATTTCGATTCCCTTCACGGGCTGCCGGTTGCTCGCCTGTGCTGTAAAAGAACAGTCACAGAAAATATGAGGCTTAAAGCAAATCAAAGCATCACCTGTTGTGTACGGTGATTGTATGGTCACCTTTCCCCGGCAATGAAACGACCAATTTTCCCCCACCAACGGTCACATTTCCCTTGTAACGTCCGTGCGTCGAATCATATTTGAACATATATACCTGGAATGCGTCCATAGAACTTTATTTGATTTCTTTAAGAATATTTCCCAGAAATCTAAGCGCAAAAGATGAAGAATGCACCATGTAATCAATGTTAATAAATGGATCGTTAACCGCCACAACTTCCACGGTATCCTTTTCGATTGCAGCCCGCAGAACTAGTCGCCCAATGCGCCCAAAACTGAAACAAAACTCAAGCAAGTAATTGACTTTTCTCAAACGCATGTTCGCACGATTTAAAATTACTAGACATCCACAGCAGTAGCTGTTTTTAAAAAAGGCACCTGGCCTTAATGTAGCCCGCGCGTCTACATCCTGTATAACATTTTTTAGCACTTTTACTGGATATTTGACGATCTCGTCCCAAAAGATGGCACATATACACAGAACAGGCAGCGGGTAATAACTGAAAGTATGCAACCCCTGACCGAAGAGCCTGACAGAGCTGCGTCTGGCATATGGGAGCATCTTAGTAACAGCACTAAGAGGAGATACCCAAACTAGTAGCCCGAGCGATCATGGTATTTCTGATAACTTGCCGTTTTTGCATCCATACGTTTGCGTTTTGACATCAGTTTTGCGTCTGTTTGGCCGAGTTCATCTCTCTGATGCCCTGCTTTCTTGCGAAGAAATTTCATCCTTTTCTGGCCAGTCTTTAACCGAACTCTGCACCGTTCCTACCCAATTTTCTCACTTCTTTCCTCAAACATAAACAGTTTTTGTGCTCATTGAAGGCGAAATGTGAAAGCGCTCTACACATCATTGCTTCCTACCTTTGTTGTGCGTTAACAAAGATGTGTATTTATGGTTTTCCCTTTTCATGCTGTACTTTTCGCTTTATATCAAAGTATGTTTGACTCCATTTTAGTCGGTCGTTTTCTGGCAGTTCCTGTTCAGATGTATACTGCTGCTTCCACAAATCTTGTAGAAAATATTTGAGCGGATCCAAAATTGGAGATATCAATCCAGGAGGATCATAATTTGATGCGATATATTGCAAAATTTTTCTTTCTTGTGTTCAATTCAGCTTGAGGTGTGCATACTACCATTCTCAATCTGTCCTTGATCGACATCCATGTGATTCCAAAGATCTTGGTTTCTTCTCTTGCTGACTGGACTATCGGCAAACTACCCATAAACTCTTTGTCACTGTCAATAAACTGTCTAATGTTTATTTGTGCTCTTGTAAACAAATCCTTAGTCTCCTTGTACTTTTGTACTGCTTCCTGTGTCGTGTTGGCTTTTTTCAATGCATTACCCACATAAAGATTGAGAAGGATTTCATTTGCCGTTTCCGTCTCTTCGTTTTTGAGATGCTTTTTCAACGTTGCAGCTAACAAGAACGGACTCGGTATGACGCCGAAAGGTACTCTGGTAAACCGGAAAATCTGAAGACTTTGTTCTGTTACTGGTTTTTTGGTGTCATTTACCAAAAGAAACCTGTGCAGCCCCTATCCTGCTCGCGTAGCCCCAAATGCAAAAAAGCCTTTTCAACATCACCGAAAACTACAATTTTTGCTTTTTGAAAGCTTAACGGAATTCCGGTCAAATTTGGCAGCATACAAGGCCCTTTATAGAGGTCCTCGTTCAGTGATCCTCCGTGTGATGTTTTGCAGAGGCATCGAAGACTACTCGTAATTTAGTCATTTCCTTCGTAGGTGTGATCACTGGCTGGTGAGGTAAATACGTCTAAGCCCTTGTTTTTGGTTTTCAACCACTTTCTCAATTATCGCAGCTTGAAGTTGCGACCGGGGCGTTCTGTCGTAGAGCTCGAGAAGCTCTGGATTTTCCTGGAGCTTCCTAATTATGGATTTGAGCAGACCTAGGCATAACGCGAAATTAGTAGCCAATTTAGACGTCTCTTTTTTTTTTCGGCCAAGTAACACTATAACGACCTGACTTATCTCTGCTTATTGTTTTCTCGAACTGCTCCATTACTTCATCTTCCACTGCTTTTTGGAAAGGCCAATGGTTAATGCCAGTGGTTTCCAACTGCCAGAACTGTGAGACATCGTCAGTAACTGAACTAGCCATGATTACTCCTTCTGTCGTGGTATTTTCTGATTTACTTCAACATCGGAGTGCACCTCTTTTGGCAATCATTCAACCCACGGATGTGTCTACTAACTGGAACCCGGGATATAATCGTCTTTTTCAACTACTGACGAATGAGAAGTAATGATCTAGTTCAATTATGATCTGCAGTTGTTCAATGGATGTCCGTAGGCTGACACTTTCTAGATCTTTTGCTCATATTTGACGAATCTCACTGTTGTTGATTGAAGCCGTGAGAATCTCTTGTGTCAAAAAATCCATTGTATTGACCGGGGTGATGCGAACGTTTCCTTTTCTGAGTGCAATCCCTACTTTAAGTTTTTGAGGTTCATAATTCTTCGACTGCCTTTGAGCGAATACTACAATTGATATGCACCTGCTGGTGATGCTGATGCTGGTTAATCCAAGTTGATTTGCCAGTTTATTTGTAATAAATGGTTGCTGGCAACCCGAATTAAAGAAGACAGTAGTTTTGATCTTCTTCGTCGGACGTTCTGGATTTGTCACCCAAACTGACTTACACAATAGCAAAAGGGTGGCTTGATTGGGATCCGTTCTTCGATTCCTGTCTCAAACGGCTTTTCCGTTTGGGGTTACCAGACAGATTCGTCGCGGAGCTCCTCCGACTTCCAAACTTCTCTGCACATAACGCTCTGTTATGGTGCCTTTTACAATGAAAACAAATTGGACTCTTGGCACATGCCTTGAATGCGCGGCCTCTCTTCAAACACTTAAAGCAAAGCTGGAGACTCCGAATTTGTCTTCTCCTTTCCTCGTACGTTGCGTGTTTCTCACAGTTACCATTCCAGTGCTGACCCGGCAGAAGCGCATTCAGTTTGCTTTTCTATTCTATCAATGTAGCAAATTGTTTGTTTCTGAATCCTGACGAACTTCTGATTGTTGTTGTGAGTTGCCGCGCATTTCTTACACTAGCCACATATTCCGGACTATCCACAATCACTTGCAGCTGTTTCCTGAATTTATGGAAGCTCATGGCTGATTTCGTTTCCACTCGACGCAGATCTCTGTCACCACCCATCGTGTTAGGTGTTGTTCCACAAGCATTTCAAGATACGGTTGATCGACTGATTCTCCTAATGATTCCAAATGATGAAAAATTCTTTCAGAATATCCAACCGTTTCTCTCAAATCTTTGTCATTTGTCTTCAAATTCTGGATCTCGTTGTACAGCCCCCATCCGATGCTGCTTATATTGGCAAATCGACGCATTAGAAGCTCCCAAATAACCTCTTCACACGGCTCATATCCTTCCACGCCTCTCGCGGCAACCCCTTTCAAATGTGATAACAAATAATTGAGCTTGTGGATTTTCGGGATTTGAAGTTTATTCAGAATCGTCTCGATGAAATAAAAGTGGCGAGTTTAATATGGAACTATGTTTCTACGAAAGATAACCCAGCAGATCTTGCGTCGAAAGAAGTGGTGCCTCAAGTATTAAAAGGAACAAGACGCTGGTGACCAGAACCCGCTTGGCTTAGGCTTCCAAGAAGCGACTGGCCACGATGGGAATATTCGTTGGAAAATCGCTTAGAATTAGAAATGGATCAATGGTCAGAAGCATGCGAAAATGATGACGGAGGAAAGCATGAAGACGTAATGAATTTAGAAAAGTTAGCAGCTAGCAGCGCATTCACCAGTCCGAATAATCTCAATACTTGGCTGGATCCTACACGTTTTAGTAAATGGGGAGCAATGAAAGGCTGCTCAGCAAAAGCGATTAGGTTTACAAAAAATCTCTGCAGAAAAGAAGGGATTCATGCACAGTGTGAATATTAAGGAAGCAGAACAACTACTTCTACGAAAGCTTCAACACGAACATATACCTAAAGAAAGCGAACTTGCTTTAGGATAAGCTGACTTGTTTCAAAGATAAGCAAACTTGTTTCAGGATAAGCGGACTTGCTTCAGGAAAAAAAATGGAATCTGGAGATGCAGAGGAAGAATAACCCAAGCGAAGCTTCCACGTGGCACAAGATTTCCCACATATCTACTCAAGGATCAGTACATTACCCGAGTTACTGTTCAGAATCAACACGAAAATCAGTTACATTATTGTTTCTGATTAATTTCATTATTGTTTGACTAATTACATTATTGTTTGATTAATTACATTATTGTTTCTACATTACTGTGCCCGTGATTAATTACATTATTGTTTCTTTATTGACCAAGCGCAATGAAATTAAAACCTTTGCAACGCCATAAAAACGACGCATTCATGTCCAGGAGGCAGTTCATATCCATCTTTTTCCGGATCTTTAACTAATAACGTGCTAGCTACACCCAAGCTTAATCTGTCACTTCCACCCATTTCTTTTCTTTCAACAATCGCACTTTCTTCATTAGGCACCGTTAACAAGGCCATCATGAATTACTTGTAGAACAATGAAAGGGAATATCGGCTATGTTTTGCTCTAATATGCGTGCTGAACAAACCCAACTCGCATTGTTGCTAGTTTGTTAACATGTTTTTTAATAACCCAAATTTGAGGTGTAGTATTCGATTCGAGAGAGCCGATGTATTAGTTCATTTGGATCGAATCAGCCAGAGCTGACGTACTGGCTCCATTATCTGAAGACCGATTCTGTTGATAATCCCGGACCAAATTTGGAAGAGGAGCGTGTGGCAACTAACAGCAACAGTCATTTCCAGTTTTGGTTCTGCTCCTTTTTTCCACAGTGCACAGCACATCTGCTCCCTCATCTATAAATGAGTTCGTCTGCTGGAACTCAGTTTCTCTGCAGGCAGTTTGAACTCTAGCTGCAAGCTAAATCCTCTACGGTCGTTTCGTTCTGTCCGGTGCAAAGCAATAGTAATTGCCCAGAAGATGCATGATGCAGGAACCAAAATGACATCCACAGCATTGAAACAACCCCTCACAGAAGAGTGCCTGACTGCAGAAGCCCCACGAAAAGCCGACGCAACAAAGCAATGAGTCACGCATACTATGCAGATAACAGTAAGTGACCATTCGACATTTGATCTAGGAATGCAGTGTCATCACAGTATATCCGAAGATTTAAAGTTGGCAGAAATGAGAAATTCGGTTCCTTCACGCCCCATGCTGCTCAACTGCGAAAAGCGTCCTGCTCAAGGGCAGTGTTCTCCTCAAACAGTGGGAAGACAAAGTCGTCATTTTTGAATTATTACAAGGCAAAGTTAAACGCCCACTTGGACAATTCCCGAAGAAGTTACATAAGACAGGTAGCGAGTACTGACTGCAGGTATGCAGAATCGAAGGGTCTGGCATAGCTGCCCACGCGCGTGGGATCATTCTAGCAACATCACTAACGGGGAAACCAACATTGATAGTTTGGGCGGTCCTGGTATTTTTGTTGTAGAGGAAGTTATTGAGTTACTGCAAGAAGGGAGAAGGAGACAAAAGGAGCACTTACCCGTTGATCCCGATCTTCGGCTTACTCATTTTGACCGAGCGAGCGTCGTGCCAATCCAACAACGAAGTAACTAGTAATAATGCATTTTTATGGAAATACTTTGTTAAAATGAGAGGGGAAGGCGATTTCAGCTGGCCTGCGCGGCAACGTAACGACCCCCCTTCCCCATCCAACCTCCTGTTTATACTCCCTCTCCCGCTCTCCCTTCTTCCCCCTTGAATCTCATCTGCCGTCAGAATTGATGTAATAGATTCCATGAGAGACAGTGAATGAAAACGGGGCGGGTAGAGGGAGGAGCGGGAGTGGAGGAGGGGGAAGGGAGGGGAAGGCGAAGTGGAGTGGGGGAAGGGGTTGGGAAAAGACAGGCCACATCTTTGTCTTACAGTTTGCAAAGTAACCGAAAATAAGCCGAAGTGCCCATTTTTTGCCATAAGCTACAAGAGGGAACCAAGAACAGATCAAGGCTCTGCGGCAGAGGAACGTGGTGGCCGTGAAAACAACTCGTCTTGGGTGCATCATGAGAGTCCGGTCACAGTGCGCTAAAAGGATCCGTCCTGGACTTGCTCTTGTCGAGCACTCCGCTCGATCTGTCCTTCAAACGGCCGCATGTTTTAATTTTCCAAGACAACCAATCGACCAACGTCGCATCGTTGGTTCATCTATCTAAGAAACCAGGAGAGCCTAAAACCAGACAAAAGACAAATGCATGGGTCAACACGGCGTCGGCCAGCGGGGCGCGTGAACGAGCCTCCATCTCATCCAGCCGGGCGTGAATACGCGAGTCACTTTCTCCATTTCATCTAGCCCGGAGGCTTCACATGCTGGGCCCCTTTTCGAAGCGCCCATTGTCTCGAGATCATCGTCTGTCGCCAGCCACAGCGCCCCCACCTCGGCTGCTCTGCACAAGCGCGATGTTCCCGGGCACGCCACACGATCCAACAGAAGACGAGCGTGAAACGACGAGTGCTTACCTTGCCCGCACTGACAATCAATCAGTACATTCCAAATCTGCCCATTTATAGCAGCAGTTCTGTGACGATTCACATGCTGTTTCAAATTTGCATAATCAGAGGCAGCAAATCACTTAGCGCTCAGCTCCAGCAAAGTAAGCGGTTTGTTTGAGGCGAAGGAAGGGCGGGGGAAGATTGACTGAACAGTCCCGAACTGGACAATTCCGTAGAAATTCAAGGTAGTACAAAAATTCCTCTAGGAAAATATGGATTTACAAAAACTGCACTAAATTTACGGAATTCTGTAGAAATACCCTCCCCTATCACTCTGAAGAAAAAATTCGAATAAACGTACCGATTACGCTTGTACAGACCAACCGTATTTCCTTCGTTTTTCGCATTCTTCCCCCCGGTCCGCCTTTCTCTTCACCTCCACCGCCTTTCTACCCTAGCGTTCCCCCTGCAATTTTACGAGCAGTATATGTAATATATGTCCCCATCGTAACTCATCTCTCCTTTCTGCCTCTTCCTCTTAGCCAGTTCACTACCCGTCTTTCATCCTCACTTCAGCCCTGTTTCCC